AGAGAGAGAGAGAGAGAGAGAGAGAGAGAGAGAGAGAGAGAGAGAGAACGAACTTTTAATTTAGGCCCTTGTTGGCTAAAGCCCTGTCTCCATGCTAGTTTAAATTGTTGACAGATTGAAGGGCAGGTTTTACACAGAAGGTTATAGAAGTGAGTTTGGCTAAAAATGCTGTTCTTATTTTGCAATATTACAAATGAAAATAATAATGCAGAACTGTAAGTTTAAATTTATGTTCCCTGAAAATCATCAATGTTTTGGGTCACCAGTCATAAAGAATGACACACTGGTTTAATTTTAGTTGAGTAAAAATTAAAATCAGACATCAGCTTCTGCTTTGGTGCTTATTATCTCCAATTTAAATTTAGAAATGTTGCAATCCCCCCACCCCCAAGCACCAAGGGCTACTTATTTGTTTGTTTCGCTTACTTGATTATCTATCTATCTATCTATCCTTTCATTTATTTATCTATCTATCCATCCATTTCATTTGTTTATTTCCTTGTTTGCTCACTTATTCATTTAGTTGTTTGTTGATTGATTGATTGATTGCATGCCAGAACAAGATGAACTTCTGGATCTAAATTCACATGTGATTCATGTGAATTTCTGGAGACTGTCAGTGGTAGCTGTGAATATGTGACTAGGTTCTTGGGCCTTTAAACACTGGCAATGACTGCAAACACTTCATCTCAGTTCAAAGCTCCTTTGTTTTAAAACTTAACTACTAAAGAGTAAAAGCTGTTGACCCTGACCATAAATATTTATCATAAGTCTGGTTCCCCTGGGCTGACAACAATCATTTTGGCAGGGGAACTGCTAAGATCTGGCAGGCTCAGCAAATTATGAAATTAAGGTCTGTACATTATCGGTATTTCTTAAATGGCTCTGAGTTTTCATTTGTAACCAATCAGGAAAGTTGTCTTTGTGAATTTTGAACATCTCTGAGGCTGGGATATTAGTATCAAAGTAGCAAATCTGTGTGTGTGTGTGTGTATGTATATATACTTGACTAAATGATGAACAAATGGATGAATGGGAAAAAAATTGTTTGTTAAACACTTATGTGCAAAGTGGAAAAAATAAAAAAGAGTTCCTGCTCTCAGGTTGCTCATACTTAGGGAAGATACCACCTGTAGGAGAGTTAGGCAGTGCCTGTATCCTTGGGATGCATTGGGTCTCTTGCCTCACTAGAGCACCCAATCAATACAGATGAGAGGAAGTAGATCTAGGTGTCCAAAGTGGAGATTTTGGGTTCTCTCCAGTAGGGAGAGCCTAGGAGGGTCCACTTGGTCAGGAGGGTAAAAGGGGAAAGAGAGATTGGCAGGAAGGTGGGGATGAATTCTGAGGCAAGGAGGGTGAGAGGGGTCCTTGTTGGTGCCAACTCCAGATGGAACCTTCCACCTTTAAAGCACTGGGGACAGCCATTGAGGGTAAGGCAAGTTGGAATGACTTAGTACCAGTTCTTAAAGGATGGACAGTTAGGAAAAAAACTTTTTGTGTGTGTGTGCTTAAAAAACTGTATATTGTACTCATCCAAGAGGAACTCCACTAAAAGGAGGCAATGTGATTTGGTGGGAAGACCACTGGTGTCAGAAGCAGAGAAGACAGGTTCAAATCCCTGCTCTGCCATGTAATATTTGTTTGACTTCAGACAAATTGTTCAACCCATCTGGGCCTCAGTTGCCTCATCTGTAAAATAAGGCATTGGACTAGATGCCCTTCTAGTTCCAAATCTATGATCCTATGAAGAGATTTAGCCCTCTGGATTTAGTGGGGTGACTACTCTGAATGTTAATGGTTGTTCTCACCCCTTCCATAGCCCAGCAGGTGGTGGCAGAGGAATGAAGTCTTAAATGTCACCCTTTCCCATAAGATGAACCTGGTTAGAAGCTCTCAGGACAGCTGTAAGAAGCTTCAGTGTCTTTCCAGGCTAGAGCTCTCCTCTCTCTCTAGTGCAGGGTTTAGTTGCTAACAGGTGGAAAAGCAAATTTATGATCCAGAAAGTTAGACTCATACTTGAAGCTGAAACAAACAAACAAAAAAAACCAACTGAAATTCCCCCGCTGCCTTCTACCTGCTCTCTCCCCCTCCTTTTCTTTCCCTTTCCCCATTAGAACGAGCAAGAATTTCTAGAATAGAGAAAGGATATCATGGTATTGTGGAAACATTCACAGGGCCTGAGTTTCAATTGTGCCTTTGCTTAGAACTTGTGTGAGTTTGGCCAGTTCTCCCTGTGCTTCAGTTACCTTCTCTGTAAAATGGACAATTGGTCTAGATACCCTCTGAAGGCAATGATTCTAAGATTCCTAAAGAATCAATGAAAGTAAACATTCTTTGACTTGGTTTATGCTCTACATATTTTTTAGTTTTGTAGGTTTTTTTTAAATAGGGAGGAAAGGGAAGGGAATAAGCATTTATATAGTACCTACCATGGGCCAGGCACTTTAAGTGCTTTAAAAATTTTTTTTTAAATAAAATCTCATTTGGTAATAAATGTTTATTGATATATTTTGTTTTCACCACAATTTCTCTCAACATCCCTTCCCCTCCCCTCTCCCAGAGAATCATTCCAGGTAACCATTTTTTTTTTCCTGGAAAGGAAAAAAATCAGCAATACTGATTACTGTGTGTGTGTGTGTGGGTATAGAAAACAGTTCCTTCTCCTAGGAGCTTATCTTCCATGTATTTGCATTCTGTTCAGTATACCTCCCACTGCAGAAGGGTCCTGGTAAAGTATGAGAAGGCTTTATCTTTTTGCTTTTGCATTTTGGAGGTTTGCTGTATGTAGCTGGAATGCACGTTTTGGTTATAAAAGACAAACAGTTTTCCCTTACTCGGCCCCATTGTAATAAAGTCGTTTTTTGAAACTGGCAAACAGCACAGCTGAGCCTCGGGTTTGAAGAACTAACGATTTATGGTCTGAATTCTTGGTCTGTGTTGACTGGATCTGGTTAGATTTTATTTATTTATTTCTTAAATTTTTTCATGAATCATTGGTAAAACTCAGTTCTTCTAAACCATTTTTGAAGGTGGGAGGAGAATAAGAATGTTTCCTGCTCCTCAAGAGTAATTCGATTAATGAAGGTCTTATTCATTGCCAGGATTTATTTTGAGAACTCAAATGATCTTTAGGCCTGAATTGTGTTGACTGTTCACCTTCAGAGAAAATTTCTATAATTACCTTTTTAACTGCAGACTAGTGATCTCCCATAAAGGCTATGAAATGATGATAATTTCATGGGCAAAGCTCGTATACTAATCCAGATAGATTCTCATATTGCCTGCAGCCCACGAACCTCCAGAGAGCACACTCTTATTAACTTACAAGAAGTAAATTGCAGCACACATGAAGTATCTTTCTGTAAACGCCTGAGTGGATTGCCTCACAAGTCCACAGCTCTTTTACATGGAGTCTTTCCAGATTGCCCCCTTGCTCCACCTGCTAGTACCTCTCACCCCATCCCCCACCACACTGAAACTACAGAGCGTTTATTTTGTATAAATCTTGAACTTACACACCGGATGCACGCAAGCTCCTTGAGGGTAGGGACTGTTGATCTTTTGGTGTTTGTGTCTCCAGGGCCTGGCACAAAGCAGAGGCTAAATCAATGCACTGACTTCAGCTAGGTGAGTCATTTTTGCCAGCAGCAGAAACAGAGATTCCCAAAGGAAGTGAACGAGTGTCTGAAGGGGGTAGGGGTTGGGGATGAGGGGAAGGGCCCCAGATCATTACTAATGTATCCCTGGAGTGGTTTTGATCAGAGAGTCTTCTAAAATTTTTATTTTATTTCTGGGGGTGAAGTCAGGCAAAAGGAGGAATTTTTTAAAAGGGTGACTTGAGGGAGGCAGCATCACGTAGTAGATCAAGACCGTGGAGCAGACGGACGACGCAGGTTCCATTGTAGACTCTGACACTAGCTGTGATCAAGGCCACGATCAAGTCCTTCTGAGCTTCGTGGAGCTCTGCCTAGAAGTTGTATAGATAGGTTCAAGTAAGGAGATAGGTTGGGATCTGCTTTGGGGAAGGAAGGAAGTTCCCAATCAGCCGCCCAATATTTATTAAGTGCCTACTGTGTGCATACAGATACAAAAAAGAGAGCTTGTGTCATAATGGGGAAGGGAACGATCTTTTTTAAGCACGTACTATGTGTCTGGCACCATGAGAAGCACTTTACAAATAGTATCTCATTTCCTCACAAGACTCTGGGAGGTAGGTGCTCTTGTTTTACCCCCATTTTACACATGAGGAAACTGAGGCAGGCTGAGGTTAAATGACTCAGCTAGGGTCATGAAGTTTGTGTCTAAGACCAGATTTGAACTCAGGTCTTCCTGAAACAACACATAAACAGGAACTGAAAGGTGGGGGAAGGGAAGACACTTGCTTTGGGGAAGGTGGCATTGGTATTAAAATCTTAAGAGTGTCAGAAGTAGAGCATGGAGGAGCATGAAGGATGCCTTTTCCCAAAGTAGAGGCCCTACAGTGGTGGGGAGCCTTTGGCCTGAGGTCACATGTGGCCTTGCAGGTCCTTGGGTGTGAGCCTTTTGACTGAGTCCAAGTTTTTACAGAACAAATCCTTCAATTAAGGGGATTTGTTCTGTGAAGTTTGGAATCAGTCAAAGAGCTGCACTTGAGGACCTAGAGGGCCACATGTAGTCTTGAGGCCACAGGTCCCCCACCATGGAGAGATCTTCCAGTGTGAGAGGGCCCCAGGCACTGAGGAAACTTTCAGGGTGAGAAGGCAGCTATTCTAAGTCCAGAGAGTCAGAATCAGAGGCTGGAGAGGAATGAAGGGCCCAGGCTTGGGCTGTTCCTCAAAATAGAGGTTCCAGGAGGAACTTA